TTTTTGGTTTATTTGAGTCATCGCTGGAAAGAAACAAACATTCATATTAAAAAAAGATGTTTAAAAATATTTCCCCCATTAAAAGAAATTACTCATCAAAAAAGAAATAACTAACCTAATAAGTCCAGCTTGTAGTGGTGTCTCTTTACTGTAAAGGGGATGCAGTCTGTAGGGTTCTGCTGGTATTTCCTCTCAATCTCATCGCTGGTTAAGGAGCACTCGGTCGAAGTTCCAGACTGTTAAAATAAACCAGATGTTGAAATCAGCCAGAAAATAAAGTCAAACTAAGCCACATTGCATGAACTCTGCTGACCCTGTTTTTAAACTCATGCCATCCTCCATTGTCTCCTTCAAACTGCCACTGTGGTTTGGAGTCCAAGGAAAGCCTCTGGAGAGGTGAGGCTAACTGAGCAGCTCTGGAATAATAAAAGCAACCTTGAACTCAGACACACAGCTTTAAAAAGACACGTTTGCAGGGGTTTATGGGTAATTAGCTAAGAACAAAGCCAGAAAATTCATGCTTAACACAGCGTAAAAATAAAATACCTTTAAAGCTTTAATCAAGGGGGTAATTTAATCAATAAATCTACATACTGAGATGAAAACCATTATGCATATTTGTAGATATGGATATTTAATATCAACTTTTAAGAGAAAAATATAAAATAAAGTATATAGATACTAATTAAAATGTGTTTGTCATGTAATAAAACATACAAGCCATGGAAACTACTATTATGTGGTTTAGCATTGCATGCTTTAAGGATGCCACAGCATAAACACAAAAACAAAACAAAAGCAACTCTATAATTAGAAGCCAGTTGATGTTAAAGGTATCGTTGAGGATGTTCTTCATCAAAATAAGTGGTACTCCTAATTGGCAATCATTCTGATGATATGTTTAAGTTAGGCCGTCCTACGTGCTCGTCCCAATTTTTACTTACCGGTCGTGAGTCTGACATAGTGGAAAAATTGCAAATCTTCTTTTGGAAAGTAAGCTTGTATGAGCGATGCGAACAGCAACATTAAAACAGGGCGTGCAGCAGGCGAAATGGGCCGATGCACGCTCTCTTGGGAGCATTTACAGGGTTGTGCATGTGCATTTTTTTATGCAAGTGGAGGAGGTGGCTCTTTTGAAAAATTTGCGAAGATCCTCCAATATACCTTTAAGTAGATGAAGCTCCTACTTCAGCAAAAATGAACTTACCCTAACCTCGCCTGCTGTTGTCTGAACACGGGTCGTCGTGTGACCTTCCTCTTTTTATTTTTTCCTACCTGTTTCATTTCTAACGAAAGTCAAACAGGATCAGTGAAGTTAAATAAAATGATTATAGATTATTAGAAAAAAAAAGAAACATTTTATATGATGTGTGAGTTCAGGTCACCTTGGAACTTAATCTCAAAGGTTTCTCCAGCAGCAGTGAAACTCAATGAGCTTTTCGGGTTGCTCTGAAATTTCCTCTCTATGTCGGCACTCTTAACTGGACCTTGATTGCCTTTCGAGTCCTGCCAAAAACACAACACTGATGACAGACCACCACTCCCACTAACTGTACTGGTTTAAAAACAAAAATAGATATACAGCAACCATCTACCTTTTCTCCGTACTTCATCCACTTTCCACTTAATGCGCAGTACCAGGCCCACACAGTGTTGCCATCATCCAGTCGCCTTACTCTCAGGTTTTTTCCATACACTCTAATTCTGTTGAAATCTATAGTAACTGCCCTGCAGGACAGGAAGTTCACTATTACTCTACTGTTCAAGTTTCTTTTTTGACAGTTAAAATATTTCAAATTAAATACATAAAAGATCCTTTTACCCATATGGTGTGTTATATATTTTGATGCTTTTAGTGTGGGGAAGCGAGTATTGGGCCTCAATTATGTGATCGTTTTCAACATCCTTCCAGCCCTTTCCATCATTTATCTGCCACTGGTAGGGTCGACCATCTGTAAGCTGGGGATCTGATTGGAAAACAAACACAAAATAAAATTGCATAGTCTAAGCCAAAAATTCCCAACCAGGGGTACAATAAAATAAGGCTGGGATGGGTTTGCTCTGTAAGGACCTAACTGCAAAATAAACCAAGATTTTATCAACCAAAAAGATAAAAAGAATGCCATAGTCAACATTTATGTGAAAGACTAGAGTGGGTATTGGTGCTGTGCACCTTTCTAAAGAGAAGAAAAGCAGCTGCAGTCAAGGATAAATGGATAAAACATCCCATTGCTGGGGATTCAGAAGGCCAGGTGTATCATCAACACAGTGAAGGATGAAAACTAAGTAAAAATGACCGTAAATCTGAATAATAGTTTTTTTTTTTCCTGAGTTTAGATATGTCTATAAGCAAGCTTTTCAGAAGAGCTCCAATTTGTAACTTCTTTTAGTACTTATGGGCTTTTCTAATTGAAAAGAAATACATCTCTGAGCATTAAATATTCAAGTTAAGGCAATTGAATGAACATTTTTCATTTTATAATCAGTTGTATTTTTTATTTTTGGAAAATAATCAACTCGTTTGACCCAGGGCTTACTCATGGTAAGATAAAACGGCCAAGGGGGTACACAAGTAAAAAAAGGTTGGGAACCACTGGTTTAAACAACTACTAAATAACCATTTAAGTTTAACCGCCTAAAGATTATAACTTGACAACCAGATGAAATCAGATGAAATGTAGCTGCTTACTGCTTCCTGCCGACTGGTCGTCAGCGCTGCTCCTCGCTCCACTTGATCTACTTCCACCCACACTGTGATTTAGTTTACAGCTTGACTGGTAGCGACAGTTTCCTGTTAGGAAATACTTGCAGACATGCAGGTAAGAGCAGTTGGCCCCGTCCTTACAGCCTCTACCGTTGTAATATTTGCAGGGTTGCTTTGTGTAAAGCTGGAAGGTGAAAAGGAAGGTTTAAGGATGAAGAGTGTAGATGGGATTTAGATCAATTATTTCATGAGATCATGTGTAGATATGTTTAGAAACGAACCTGAGAGTCATCCTCTGAATCAGACTGCTGCTCACTGTCTGAATCGTCGCTGGCTTCTGATTCACTTTCATTAAAGTATTCCTCATCAGGTTCTGAAAAATATTTCACTTATATATATTTATATGCATAGGCAACAGTTAGCCCTCTTATTACTATACAATAAAACCACAGCATGTTAATAATATTGCAGCCAGGTATTCCTTGTTTAAAAATTAATGAATAACTATGACATGTCATGATTTAGCATATAACAGACCTCAATGTGTTATTGGAAATTATGCATAGCTGCAAAACTGTGAAAGGAAAAAAAATCATTTTACTGATAACCCCAAGACAATATTTAATGCATTCAGCCTTCATCAGACGTCCCAAGAACCGAGAAATGCCTTTTTTGATCTCAAGGTGGCCAGAGCAAGAAAAAAGTCTGTTTTACCTCAAAGTATTTATACTTAATGATTGGTGGGTGAGCAATGTCTGGCAGGAGCAGACAGCACAGTGATGGAGGAGCAGTGGAGGTTCACAGCTCAGGGGGTAAAATTAAATGATCACCATTTCTCACTACTAATCTTTATGGAAAAGCAGGACCCTCCCGAAAACCACCATAAAAAACAAACTTAAGAAATTTTTTTTTTAACTATAAATAATTTATAGGAATCCCAACCTGCAGTGTTGCTATAATTACTTTTGTCCACTACTGTATTATTCCCTAAATCCTACATATATGTTTATCCTTTATGTTGAGCCTTGAAATCCAGCTATATTACAGCTCTAATTGCAGTTGTTGCAGCATGTACCATTTTTTTTATTTCATTACAAGTCTTTGAAATATTTTTCCACAATAAGACACGATCACATAAACCCTCAAAATTCCAGGACAAACTATAAATATCTTTGCTCATTTCTGCCCCCTGCTGGTGAACCTGCTGCACTTCATGATTATTAAATCTCCAGTGGGGCGAAATAATTAAATCAGTCATATAATTTTGAACAATGACCAAATGTTATAATTAACTTAATAAATGAGAGATAATAACAACCAAATTTAACAATTTTCAGTTTTATGTAGATTTATTTAAAGGTGTTCAGTAATTGGCCTAATAGGAAACGAAACTTAAAACTGCTGTCTGTAAAACTGCTAAACTTTCCAAATCTGCGAGTGAGGTTTTAAAGCTACTTAAGAACAGGCAAAATGCGGCTTTATGTTTTGACATTTATTTGTTTATAAAAAAAACCCCATCACGTTCAACTAAAGCTGTTGAGTTAAAAAAAAATAGATAAATCTACTGTATGTAGTAGATGCGGCTAAACAGTGTCACATTGTTACATAATAGATTGCATACGTTACTGTCCTTTATTAAAAGAAAATGATTAATAATAAAGTTTTATAAATACAGAAACAAAGACCAGATTGAAAGCCTGCTTACCAGAAGCGGACGCCATCGTTCAGTGATTGCTTTCGTTTTCACTTTAAAAGCTGTGACTGAACCTACAGTACACACCTATAAACCTAAATAAGTCACTCCCAAAATCAAAACACTCATTAGTACTACATAAGTACTCAAATGTCATTCAGTAATTATTCTAATGTTAAAACATCACAAGAGCCATGCTTTAAATCCATGTGGGAAAGAAAAACAAAACATTTTTTTTTGTTTTGAAAGCTTGTCAAAATGCGAGTAATAATCAGAAGTGGTTACTCAGAGGAAATAGGTAGTCATTCAAAAATAAATAAATAAATAAATAATAAATAATATTTTAATTGAGTCAGAAGTAGTATTATTTTATTTTATATTTATTCATTTATTTTATTTTATTATTATTTATTTAATTATTTTAAAAAAGTATATAAAAAAAACACCACTCATGTAAAAAAAAAAAAAAAAATGCATTTGCCCCCAAAACGTCACACAATAATAATGCAACAAGTCACGTTTCTGTCGCCTGTACAACAAAACCTCACCGACAGATGGAGACAGAGAGCCACCATTACTACCCTATTAAACCCACGAAGAAGAACGAAGGAGCCTTCTGAAGGAGGAAAAGCTAACCCCTACCAACCTACAAAGTGCGCGTTGTCGATTAAGGCTTATAAAAAGCAGAATGGAAACCACTATACAGCCGGATCACGAATACACCAATAACACGTTTGATCAAATTACCCCCAAAGAATTCACATATAAGAGTAAGTAAGAGGAGGAGGAGGGGTTTTAACACACTGATAGCAACACTCGGAATATTTAGCTTAGGGGCAACCTAGGAAGGTTACTACACTGTGACGTATCAGGATCTAACCGTTGTGTTATTATATTTTTTTTTACTTAGATAGTGACCACCTGTTGTTTTTAAATTTGCCCTTAAATGGTCAGTTGCATCCAGCGGTGATGGCAGCCTTTATAAACTAAATTATATTAAAACAAGCTATGCTAGCTCTATAGATAATAAACACTAACTTTAGAAAGAAGGAGGTTATCTTTTCCCAACAAAAAATTCTGAACAGTCTAATGTTGTAGAAGATATGTGCATTTGTGGAATATGTTTGTCTTTCCTCTTGACTGTACTTGTTTATTGTGACATACTCCTGGGCATATTTGTTTGTTTATATTTCATATATTATTGTTGACTTTAAGTAAAATACAAAAATAAAAAAGAAAGAAGGAGGTTTAATATGTTGTTTCACATACAAAGCAGTTCTCTTTCAATACAGAGTTCATTCTCAGGCTGGAAAGCTGCAATTAGGTAAATTTTTGGATAAAAATGGACAAAGAAATCAGATGGTAGAAAATGGTTTACTTAGCAATAACTAAACTTTACTGATCTGAAATTGGAGAAATTTACCTCTGCATTTAACCCATCCCCTTGGGGACCAGTGGGCTGCCATTGTGCGGCCCCCAGAGAGCGATCAGGGGTTAAGGGTCAGGAACCCAGAGTGGAGGCTGTGGGGATCGAACCGGGCACTTGCAACCTTCTCAGAGCACTGTTCTAACCAATAGGCCAACACTCCCCACTACCTTACCTTATCACCTGTTTCACTGTGGAAGCGTAGATCCATCCATCTCCAGGAACCCTATCAACATCTAATCGTCATTTTCCTGTTTATTTTTTTTCAGTGAGCAAAACTGAAGTCGAAAACTTTGTGAAGTTGCGGGCTTCCAATGGTTGCCTCTTCTCCCGACAGAGAAATAGCTCCAAGTGGGCATGGAGGTATGTATGGTGAGAAAGTAAACAAAAACAATGTTCCAAAACTAGACTAAAACCCCATTCATTAAAATCTACACATGACATTTATTTTAATTTGAATAAGATCAAACTTATTTCTGTATTTATTATTTTAATTACATCTGGTTGCACCCTTTGTTGATTGAAAATGTCCAGTAGAGCTTCAGAGTAGAAATTACAAACATTTTAGACTAGTTATATTATTTTATGTCCAGATATGTGAAATCTTTTTGGATCAAAAGATGCGTTTGAAGTCCTACCTAAGGTGGATTCAATGCTGTTAACATTTATTAGCTGCATATGACACCAACATAGAAAGGCTTTGTGTAAAAATCAAAGTGCACCACCTCATTTAGTAGTTTGTAGAACTGCTTATAGCGGCCATAACTTTAAGTTGTTTATATCAACTTACCAGCCACTTATTTTTAATATAAATTTCTTTTGTTTTGTTTTAATTTTCTTCATAATGCTGAACTGAAACTCTTCTGGACAGAAAGGCTTGGTTGCGTTCTCTGTAATCTACTGGAATTGTTTTATTATCAGGACCATCCTAAAACATATGGGCTTGCATCATAAGATGACTCATCGTCAAGCTTCTAAAAAATGGGAAAACCTGAAGAAGAGATATAAGGTACAGATGCGGTTGCTTTGGATAAGGTAACAGTTTTAACTTTATACTCATTTTAACCTTTGTTGTTTTCACTCCCCTGCAGGACTTAAAGAATCCTCCACCAGGAGTCAGAACAGTACCTGAAACCTGGCATCTATTCTCCTTGATGGATGATGCCTTAAAAGGTCGGCTACAGGGGTCAGCTCCTGTCCTTAAGAGTCTTCCTAGAAATAACAACAACAATGATTTCTTACTAGCACCCTCCCCCAAAAGGACAAGGCTTTCAATGTCGGAAGTATCCTCTGCTGTAGAATTTGAAGAAGGAGGGGCAGAGATTGAGGTTCTGCTGAATGGAGACGAAGATGAATCTGCTGTAGCAGCAATGGAAGAAAGTGAGGAGATGAACGGCCTCGTTCAAGAGGTGGATATTTACACAAACAGCGAGCCAGAAGAGATTAAAAGTGAGCAGCAGCTATTAGCATGTGATAGAGTAGCACAAAAACAGAAAACAGAGCAAAAAGTGAGAACAGATTGGGATGCAGCCATTCGACAGCAGGATAGGATGCTGCTGGAGAGGGAGAGAGCAGCAATGGAGAGGGAAAGGGGGGTGATGGAGAGGGAGAGAGCTGTTTTGGAGAGGGAACGGGCTTTGATTGACAGGGAGAAGTTGATGCTGGAGAGGGAAAGAGATGCCCTGCGCAGCGAGAGGCTGGTTCTGGAAAAACAAAAAGCAAGGTGGGAGAGACTTTTTGCACAAAAAGAAAGAACTGAGGGGGGCGCAGAAGATGGCTGCAAGGAAAAAAACTCAGAAGCAGCGGAGAGAAAAGAACGACTTCTTTGTTTGTTGGAAAAACTTGTAGAAGATATTTAAGAAAATTACTGCAAATGCCCTTGTGAAAAATAAATCACAGTTCCTTGCAAAAATGTTCAATTTCATGGTTTGTCAAATAAAACTACAAACTTCAGAACCCTGTTTAGTAATTTGATATCATACACAAACAGAAAATAGTGAATAATTGTGATTTGTAACAACTGAAAGCAGTTCTGGTTCAGACATTATTCTGTCTCACTGCCCTACAGTAGCAGAAGAAAATAACTTATCCCCACAGCATGATGCTGCAACTATCATGCTTAACCATGGGGATGCTCTGTTAAAGTTGTGAGATTTAATTTAAATGCTAACCACACTTTTAAGATCTTTATCTGTTGAACCCTTTGTATCATTTTCTTTCGGTTTCATATCAATCCTTTGATTTGTTTTGGTCTGCCACTTTAAATTAAGCTTTGATTGCGACTTGTAAACTTCATCTGCAAAGTATACGTGAAATCCCACACTACACTTTTGGAATCCAAAAATCCAGCCTACTGTTTTGAATGTATAGTGCAGATGCATATATGGTTATGTGTCATGTGTTTACTTCATATATTTTTGTCTTGAAAACAAACAAAATAAAATGTGTAATTTAATAACAAAACATTGAGACACCTCTTGAATGGAGAGGTCTTTAAATCGACTTTATTCTCTTGTGGTTATTCCATACAAGGCACACAATGAAGCACTTTTGGTATTATTCTAAAACCAAACCCTTCCACAACAAAAAATGAAAAACACATAAAAAATAAAATAAAAAAACCCTCCCCACCACCTCCACAAACTATTAATAAACTTTAATTAATTTGCTCTAGACAGAGGTCTGTATCCATTGCTATTTAGGACAGTTAAACCCTGACCTATTGACTTGAATATGAAAATGAAAATGGTTTGTGTAAAAAAAAAAAAAAAAAAATATTTTTATATTACAATACAAACTTTACAACCAGAAGTTGTTTTTTTTTAATGCTTTTTGTTTATTATATTGCATCAATTTACTTCTTACCATCTCCATCTTCATTAGATCTTTGCTTGTATACATTGAGAAAAAAAAAAGTACTTTTTTTTTTTTACAAAAAAAACTTTACTAATTGGTTGGTTTTTGGTTGCCAGTTATGAAAAGAAACTGAAAATATCAATAAAAACCCTGTGAGGCTGTGTTATAAAAGGTTTCTGTGCCGCTGCACATCTATTTTTGTAAAATCTTATACAATTTAGAATATTTCTGTAAAAATCCGAGCAACAGGAAGAAGGCAGAGTAATGCATATGTGCTTGGTTGTTGGAATTTCAGTCATATTTGCTATTTGGGCATTTGCACACATTTTGCACACAGTTTTACAGATTGGCAAAATCTGTCAGCAGCATGTAAGAAACACACTTTCAGGAAGGACTTTGAACATTGAATATAGTATAACTCTGTGGGTCAGTATGTACAAAGATGTTTGCAGGGGTCTAGGTTAAATAAGATTCCCGATGGGTATACGGGGCAGACAGATATAAGCCTGAGGAGTCTTGCTGAGGTTGATGGGGTTGCCGTCCAGACGGATATCCTCCAATGCATTTCTGATGTAGCTGAAGTCGTTCAGGTTGCAGAACGTGTCCTCGTGCATCATTTGAATGTTGTTACGCTGCAACGGAACAGATAACGTAAAGTCAATTGCAAAAAGGAAGGAAAGAATGCAGTAAAAACAAAAAAACCACACTGCAAAAAGGATTTAAAGATATTTATATTCTTAAATTAAGTAATTAAGATGATTTGCCAATGGAATGAGTATTTTTACTCTTCAAGTATGAAAATGTGATAAAATGTACTTGAAATAAGACAATGCAAATGTTTTCTCTTATTTTAAATGTAACTCATCTTGTTCCATTGGCAGTACTTACCTCCTCAATTTAAGAACAGATGCACTTGTTTTAAGAAAAAATGACTAATTTAGATTTAAATGGGTCAATTAAAAATAAGAATTCTGTGTTGTTAACTGTTGGGTCTTTACTTAAGAATAATTTATCATCCTTAAATCAAAGGAGCTAGCACTTTAAACACCTCTTGCTCAGTGTGCAGTGAACTAGGAGATCTGAAGCCAAGTTGCAGTACCTGTAAATGTAGAGAGCGCAGGCTGTCTGGTAGAGGCACTGGAATATAATCGATGTTGTTATCGGTTAGGTAAAGGTACAGCAGTCCAGTCATGTCCTGTAATCCGAAGAAGAGGAAAATATGATGCAGTTTTAAATTTAACTTCCATAATAAAGCTTTTTTTTTTTTTTTTTTTTACCTCTCTATTGTTTTCTCTGACATATAGGGATCTTATTCTCTCTTACTGCATAGAGCTGCACAGGGACCAAATATTCTGCGTTTAATACCTTCCTGTTTGGAGTTGTTGAACTATTGCTGCCATTAACTGCCCTCTCTTTGGTTTTCTTTTAAGAAATTCCTGATTGTGCAATTTGGGATTTAGCTGTCTTTTTACATGATGAAGTTATTGGTGATTATCTCTCCTATTACCTGTTTTCTCTGGCTGTGTTTCTTTCTACTAGAAAGTATTCTTAGGTTAGTTCTCATTTGTGTAGCTGTGACTTTTTTTTATACTTACAGAGCTGCTATTACTTAGCATATGCTTAGTTCTTTCTTTCCAATAGAACATACACCTTGTGCTTTTATATGGTATTTGACAATAAATATGTTAACTTTAACACAGAAAAACCTAAAAAGCTTATAGAAGACAGATCCTCCTTTAGATTTAAATCAATATTTGAAACCTGACTTTGGAAAGATGTGTTGTGTTGGATATTTTTTATATTAAATGTTTTTGTCTGCCTTTCAAACAAAAGTCTTAACTAAAAGAACTAAAGAAGGTGTGCGTACTTTAAATGCCTCTTTATGGATGCCCTTTGTGCCGATCTTGTTATGGCTGGCATCAATCAGAGTCATGGTCTCAGGAAGGGTTGGTAGCTGGGAGATGTGATTTTCTCTAATTATCAGCTCCTCGAGCTCAGGCAGGCCCATGAACGCTCTGTCCTCGATGGAAGTGATCTGATTGGCAGTCAGGTCGATCTTCTTCAGCTTACCTGGAAGGCAGGAAAACCAGCAGTCTGAGATACAGATATGGTGCATTCACTGACCACATTCCTTTGTAGTCGTAAGCAGCCAGAGGTTAACTTTGCTTCTGAACATACCTGGCTTAATAGCCATACATTTTCATTCAAAGAGGACACATACTCATGTTGGCGAAGTCAGACTTGCTGATCTTTGTGATTCTGTTGTAGCGAGCATAGAAGTGAGTGGTGCCTTTGGGCAGAGGTGGAACACTGTTCAGCTTCAAGTCGTCACAGTAGACGGAACCACCGAGGCATGTGCACAGCAGGCAAACAGGCATTCCTGGGATACATGAAGAGAATAAAGGGGACAGAAGAATAGAAAAAAAGCATGTTAAACATACAGGACATTTTAAGTTTTTTTTATTTATTTATACACCTGAACAATCCTAACCAGACTAAAGCTGTACATAAGGCAAGGGCTGGGTTTGGTCTTGGCTGTGACTGACAGCGGCACACTGGCACCTACAGCAACATAAACATGGCGAACAGAGAAAGCACCCTGATGATAGTTTACAGCAGAGAGAATTTCTTTTTAACATCCTCACCAGACACAGAGAAAATGGGGGGAAGGTTCTATGGAGGAGGCCATGAGGCATGAGTCGTACTGGTTTGAGCTTCTGGATCAGAGATCTAGCTTTCTCCACTCACAGAGAATGAAAATAAAACCAATCCAAACACTCCTTATACACAAAAATGAATAACTTTAATTTCTTGTGATCGATTGACAAAAAAATGAATGTCTAACCATCCTTTTAGACTAGAAAGGTGAAACACACTTCTTTTTGTCCAACTTTAATGCATGTTCTATTTTTTTTTTTAACAATTCTTCTCTTTAAAACTATATATTTTTTCCCTATAGCTTTTAGGTCATGTCAGAAAAGGACAAAATGAATGTTAAATCATTATACTAGGTCCTTATTCAATTTTAATGTATTTACTATTTTTATTTTCTTTCATTATGAGGAAAATCGTAATTTATTTTAATTTTACCTTATAAAAAAGGTTTAATTTGTTGTTACTCCCCAAGTAAACAAAAGAAGCCAAGGGAAGAGCTTTTCTTTGTCAGCTCTCCAAAATTATGTCACATTCCAGGCTAAGCCAATTTAAAAATCAGATACAGTAACCGCTTTTTGACCTGAGGAGGGCACCAAACAGACAATTAACAATTGCAAATGTTTAATTTGTCAAAATATCACCGGGTAGATATAAACAGCACTAAATACCTTCTATTTATATAATTTATAAGCAAAAAAAATTTTTAATTAGGGATAAGTTCTTAATATCTACTACCAGCAGGTCTCTCAAAAGCATTCTGGAGATTCTGGTAGACTGGAATCAAAGGTGCTTCAACAAAATATCGAGCAAAATGTTGAAAAAGGTTTGAATACACTGGCAATACTTTTGGGTTCATTGCAGTCAACTATATGCACTAAATAGAAAGATTTCAGGACAAAATAATAGGGTATGAAATGCTGAAAAGGGGAATTTACCTTGAGTCCGATATGCACAAAGGAAAAATATTTGCAAATACTACAATAAAACTCTCAATTATTTGTCGAGTATTTGTACTAACAATCATTTTTTTCCTCTTTTAAACTAAAGACTAAAATGAAATTACAGGGCTGCTCAGTGGGGCAGTAGGTAGCACTGCAAGAAGGTTCCAGGTTTGATTCCTGGCCAGGGATCTTTCTGCATGGAGTTTTCATGTTCTCCCTAATCATGCATGGGTTCTCTCCGGGTACTCCAGCTTACTCCCATAGTCCAAAACCATGACTGTTAGGAGAATTGGCTTTTCTAAATAATCCTTAGGTTTTTAGTGTGTGTGTGAATGGTAGGTTGTCCTGTTTGTGTTGCCCTTTCACAGACTGCCGACCCGTCCAGGGTGGACCCCACCTCTTGCCCATTGACAGCTGGAGATAGGAACCCCACGCAACCCCAGCTGGGTTAAGTGTAACGGAAAATGGATGGATGGATGAAATCAAATTACACTAACTACACTGGACAAAATATCTTCAAAGGGTGCTTAGATCTTTTTAAAATCTCTATCTAGATTTGGTTCTGGACAGTACTGACCTTTCTTGAAAACCTCATCAGGCTCCTCTGGCTCATAAGTCTCTGGAAAACCAGAGCTTACTGTTTCTTCTTCTACACTGGTTTTCCCCTCCTGAGGGGTTTCAGGTGTGGTTGAAAGCAGCTCCTCCTCTTATTAGAGACAAGATTAGGCGTTAAAGAAAGAGGTTAGATCGGCGTGGACACAGGACAGGAAAAAGCAAAGCATTTTTAGAAGCGTTAGACAATGTTGGTTATATGAGAAAGACATTTTACAGTTATTGACATGAGAAGTGATTGACAACAAGGTTAGCGAAAATGTACATGGATCAAAAAACACACAACAGAAGATTTCTACCATCCCATGGTCCAATCTTCCATGCTTCCCTTTCTTTAACATACAATTCTATCTGAGATACTGACCTTCTGGTTTACTGGGCTGAAATATCACAAGGACCTCCTCGTCGTCTCCTGAGCCAGAGACACTAGGAAGCCCAGAGGTTCCAGAGACCTCTGAATCTACAGAGGCTTCAATTTCTCCCGAGATCTCCCCAGAAGCACTCAGTACCTCCTGGGGAACTCTTTCCTCAGTAAAGGGAAACTCCTCCTCTTGTTAGAGCCGAGGGTTGATGTTAGGAGGTGAAGGTTAAGAGGGACAATCAATCACACTCACATTTAAGACGAAACAAATGTTAGAAAGACATGATTATGATAAAAAAAATTAAATACAATCACAACACAGTCAACATTTAACCACATTATTTTTAAAGAAAGCAGTTAAATGGAACAATTGTTAATTAACATGGATCATACATTCTGTTAAGGTACTAACCTCCAGATATTGTTATAATCCCTGAGTATCCAGACTCATCAGAGTCCCCAGAAACCCCAGAAGTTCCAGAGCCTCCAGAGCTCAAGATATCTCCAGGGAACCCAGAGCCAGACTGGTCCCCAGATTCTCCGGAGCCAATGGGAATTTCAGGAATGATTTCATTATCTTTATAGGGGAAGTCTCCCGAGGCTCCAGAAATAGCAGACCCACTGATGTCTCCAGATCCTGAGAAATCCCCAGAAATGAACAGAACCCCACGTGCAAAGACATCCCCAGAGCCTCCTGATATAGGTAGCTCATCTGGATGTCCAGATATCAGGACAATGTCATCCAAAAGATCTCCAGAGGCACTGGAGACCAGTGTGTCTCCTGAGAGGCCAGACCCAGAGGCGCCGGAAGCTTCTGAGGTTTCTCCGGACCCTACAGAGCCTCCATAATCCCCGGAAACATGAAGAGTATCAACAGGCATCTGATGAAGCTCCACCTCTTGTTAGAGACAAAATGATGCACTAATAAACAGATAGAAAGGACTGAAAAAAATCATTGATCAGGTGTGAAGAACAATGATGATTGGGTTAAGAAGAAGACAAGCAGACATAGTCAACACAACACATTTAACCACTGATTAACCGCCAGTTAAATGGATAACATGCACAATGGAAACAGGATTATTGGGAGATGTATCCGGCTACTCCAATGAAGCTTCTTCCACAACATAATGAGCTCAACAAAGTGTAGGGGCCTTCATGAAACTGTGTGCACTATCCTATAAAGTAATGATATTTTTTAGATTTAAATGGCAGTGCTTCTTCAGACCTTTCTCTGTGTCTGGACCCATGAGAAGACCAGATCCACCGGAACCCTGAGGGACAGGTTGGGATGTTAGAGGAAACCCTTCTTCCTTCTCCTGGGTCTCTTCTCCCTCTGTGTTCTCCACAGCTGATTCAGGATATTTATATTCTGGCTAAAAAAACAAAGACAAATAAAACAGTGAATCAAGATATAAATGACGACATTTGACCTATTCCTAGTTCTTAAACTTCCACTGGGCAGAGCTTTAACTTAACCCTTTAATCTCTTTAGCTTGCCTCTCTGCACATGGATTAGTTTTTTCTCTCAAAAATTATTTTTTTTTACATAGTCTTAGATAGAAGTAGGAAGCAAATATAGAAAATAGCTGAAACAAGGAATAAATTCTAGAGGCCAGACTTAATTAGGAAAATATTTAGAGCATGCAAAAGATTTTGTAGGTAAAATGAGTCGAGTTTTTAGGGGGGGCAGTACAACTTCAACCCTTGTTATAAAACTGTTTACTCTTGTGCTTTATTCACATATCTTTACAGTAATATTAAGAATTAAAAATAAACTGTATTAGGTGAGGAGGATTTCCATTTTCTGTGTCATTGACCTGTTTATTTAGGTGCTGTATGAGAGTCAGCTGCACAGAGAAATGAGATTCACATATTTTACGATACTTAAAGCAAAGTGATAAGAAGAACAATAATTCCACACACTATAACCTGAGGCCATAATTAAATATACCTAATTACTAAAAAAATGTACATAGAGGAAACAGGCTAAAGTTAGTATAGCACTTAAATTTTAACTGCTACACATGTTATCTGATGTTATCCAGAGAGCCGCCTGTTGGGACAAAATGCACGTATCAGGAAAAAAAAGAGCACAAAGGCGGTGAGATTGATTTTATGAAGTATAGAGCTCGAACCTGGCATGGGCAATTCTTTTATTTTTTAAATTGGATTTTTATATCAACAGAAAAACTTGAGAAGGACTTCCCTACTTTTAAATCAGTTTAATCCACAGATCCACATTTAACTGCCTGATTGTGAACAAGTTATTAAAAAAAACCTCTAAATTGACCCTCTAATTTAAACAGAATAAAAGCTATGATTTTTAGGAAAAGAAATCTAACATATATTAATAATAATAACACAATCTTTCAAACACAAATAAAACTACAGTACATATATTCCCAAATACTGCATTGTATCATTTTAATAATACTAAATAGGAATGTTTAAATATTTCCAAACATAAAAAAATCGCCACAATCAGAAAGGATAAAAAAAAAAAAATGAATACATTTTATAATTATTGCTAATTAGGATGTATAGGTGACAAGTACACTTTTAGTGCTGATAAAAACCTTTCAGTTTTTCTTCTGTTTCTTTAATAAATCTAATGAAGATGGGAGATGGGATTGTAATCTATTCAGAATTTAAGGAATTTCATCAGTTACAACACAGAAATGTACCAGGTAGGATGTATGGGCTTAAATCTTTAACCAGTAGGTGGAACCAAACTGTCAAAAAAGAGGAACCTCGGAAATCAGCCGCAATTATATTTTTAGTACAAGGAAGTAATTAATCCTCTTCAATGAAAATGTGTCCACTAAATGTATAAATGTACAAAAGTGCTTTCCAGCAATACACAGTATTAAAAAGCCAATAAACAATTGCCTTGGTTTTCCACCAGTGAAAGACTCAAGATTTTAAGGGCTGCAGAAAACTAATTGGTGATTAATTGCAAAAATAATAAAACGTTCAAAGACATTAACTGAATTTTTACTATTAATATTTAAATCCTTAAATAAATAAATGCATTTAAAAATAAACCTGCATCCTATATCATGAAATACCAGTAATTAGCAAAGAAAATAAAACAGACAAAGCCAAATAAACATCAGTTTTGGAGACTTAAAAGCTTTGAATATATCCATAAAGTTTATTACAGCATAGCATTTCTACAGTTGTTCTTTAAATTGTCTAGTATTTGACTGAAGTTGCAGTTCTATCATTTTTCCAGATGAGGGTAATGAACTCCCACACACAGGTAGTACCTGATTCTTCGGATGACCCAAGCAACTGAAAGCAGGAATGGTCCTTGTGGAACCAAGACACACATGGTAGCTAAAATGATCCATATATGCATCTAAATATAATCAGGTGCCAATAAGCCAGGGGTTGTCACTGGAAATCTGGAAAGTCTAATAAGAAGTTGTAGAATGCAGAAAGCAAACAGAGTTTATACTGGGACAGAGATATTCCCGTTCTAAAGTTAGCCTACACATAGTTTGTGATACAACAAGGTGAGTCTTTGAAAAGTTATGCACAGCACTCCCCTTCATTTCCCCTTTCTGAAAAACAAACATAAATACCTATGGGAAAAGAAGAGGTTAAAGGCTAAAAACCAAAGAACAAACAGATAAATAAAGAATTAGAGCTCTGAAAGCAGCAGGGAAGAAATAAAAAAAATGCATTGAAAAAATACAGTAGACAAAATGAGAAAATAATTTCAAAATGCATAAATAATCCCACAATTGTAATCTTAATTCACCTCTAAACTCAAAGCAGAGATACCATGCTACACACATTTAAAGCCCTGTTTATGAATCGCTCGATACATACAGTAATAGCCCTTTAACGTGACTAGTGGTAACAGGTGATTGTGGCGCACACATTTTTTCTTTTTTAGTGCTACTGACTGGAATCTATTTGAGAAGCTTTTAAACATTAGAAGTGGTTTGACCAAAAATTTGAGCCGGTTTCACCTTTCTCCCTTTGTTTAGAATTTTGATGCGTTTAAAGTCTTATTGTAAGATGGATCAGGGCTTTTATAAGAACAGTTATAACTGCACAACATTTTGCAGATTTGTGCAATTCTTGAAACAAAAGTATTGGTTAGCAGGGTTAAAACATATATCTGTGTACATCAGACTCATATACTTCAAGCATTAACTTCTTTCATGAAACAAAGCACATCTTCTGCTGTAGAGTTTATGTAAAGCATAACTTAGCTTGTTTTTTAATACTGGTCTACTGGTGTTTTTTTTTTTTTTTTTTTGGTTGAAATTGTTCAAATCTGGTTGTGTTTGATAACTTGAAATAATAATATAAAATAAAAAAGATGTAGAATATTTTAAATGGGTGCCGGACTGGCCAGCTAATAATGGAGGTCATACTTTAAATTGTGTTATTTGTTCTTTTGGAATGGATAATATTTTTGTAATTTTATGAGCTTTGGAAGACAACTGCTGCTCCTAAAAAGTGCTTACACCTCAATGCTTATTCCCAGTTCTTTGCCATGGAGCGATTACTCTTAAAATACTACTTCTTATAATAAACAAATCTCAAACAGGACTGAACTTGATCAAATATCATCTAAATTTGGCACAGAGATTGTACAGAGCTACAGTGAAGGGTTATAGTTGCCTGCTTTGAAAGAATCAAGGAATTCCATGAAAAACAGCTCCAGTGTGTTCTCATTAAAGATCCGATACTCAGATCGGAAATTGGTTCTGATACTGACCAATTAGCAGGATCAGATGGTTCCAATCCAGTCATTTCTATTTTCTTTTTTTTTTTTTTCATATCATACACAATTCAATTTCAATTCAGTTTATTTATATAGCGCCAAATTCACAACACATGTCATCTCAAGGCACTTTACAGTTCAACACAACAATAGTTAGGGTAATTTAGTGACTTTAATTTTACGATTGCAGCACAGATTATGTCAGTGTGCAGAGAACATGGAGCAGCTACATGCATTANAAAAAAAAAATGTATTAGTGCTTCTTTAGTTTTTATACTCCACAGATACCAAGTTGTTGTTTATCTGAAAGGTTGCGTCATTTTCATGTGTCCATTCCCTACTGTAAGTGTACCTGCTCACGCTTCATGCCAAAATTACAGACATTCTATTGGATTTTATCAAAACAAGCCCTGAGAAGAGTCATTATTATTATTAATATTATTATTATTTCTATATAGGCTGCCTTGTATATTTTCATTCTTGTCTCCTAATCTTGTGACTTACACACTAAAGATGATTAACTTTATCCTCACAAAAGGGATATCTGTCATGGTTTTAGTTTTGTTCAAGTTTTATTTTGAGTTTTCATTGGTCTTATTTCGATTCTTGTGTTCTAGGTATTTTTGATTGTATTTGAGTTCTTAAATATTTCCTGTTTGCCCTCTTGTGTCAGTCTCCTTTTCCCTAGCTCCCTTCCTGCCTCTGTTCACACCTGCTTCCAATCTGCTAATTAGCCTGGTCTTTGTTTCTCTCTCCCATATAATCTCCTCCTGTTTAGTCACTCTTGGCTGGCTTGTCGTCATTACTTTGTCCCCTTCTTGTTGTGAGTATTCTTGGTTTTCAGCATTGTTGGATTTTTGTGGATTAATGTTTTTGGATTTTGCTTATTTTACCCTTTTTATTATTAAACATTCAACTAACCACCTCATGCTTGTGTCTGCATTTGGGTCCTGTCAAACCACCCCCTCTGCGACAGTACAAACCAGCCAAAGATGGACCCAGCAGACCTGGACTCAGTTTTGGGCACCAGAGAGGGACAGCTGAACAAAAAGGAGGAGCAACTGGAGTTACTGCAACAGCAGATGAAGGAACTGGATATACAACAGGTTAAGTTCATGATCAATTTTTCCCAACAACTTCAGTTCCTTGTGAATCACTTCCAGAAATTTCAGAATCACCCCTTTTGTGAAAATATCTGCTTTAACTTATTTATCTTCTGAGGGAAATCAAATGAAACATCAGAATTTATAACTTATAGCATAAGAGTAAGGGTAGGAAAAGCTATCTATTATTAATGGAAAAGTATATATGTCTATTTTATTTAAAAGCCTGGGTATCTTATAGTTTATAAATTATTTTTATGAATGATAACGATTAAAAGGTTTTTGTATAATAGATGAAAAGGATAAAATAATGACTTTTAAATGGCCCTGGCTATGACCCCCCCCAATTCTGGGGTCCTTTTTGTATGGAATGTGCCCGTTTTTCCCATGCATACAAGGGTTCTCTTAGGGGAACTCCAGCTCCCAACTATAATCTAAAATCATGAATTCGACCTCCAAAACACTGTTTACTACTCCATTTTGGAGCGTCTTTACACATTCCGATGTGGCTTGTAAAAAATATGTT